TGGCCTAAATCGGTCAATCAGTGCTGTTTTGAATGCATCCCACGACTAAAATGGTGCTCTGGATTCAACCCATTGATACCAGCTCAGAGCTCTCCCCTCCATGCAAACTGCTGCTGCATTGACCATCTCTGTCTCCTGATAACGATTGATGGTGAAGTAACGATCTGCTCTGAAGGACCATCCATATGGATCTTCGCCATTAAAGATTGGCAACTCCAGCTTGCGTGTGTTCTTTTTCTCCTCTTTCCCAACTTCCCCATTGTCTCCTCGATCTGGTTCCTTTTCTCCACCGATGTTCTGGTTCTCTGCTCATGAAGAGGATTTCTCTCTTTCTCGGTCTCTTCTTCCAACTCTTTCTTCTCTCATGCGCATTAATTCCCTCATTTCTGTCAAATATTCCTTAACACTACCCATGTCAATCTTCAAGGTACTGATGTCTTCCTTTACTGTATTCATCTCTTTCTCCAAGTTATCCATCCTATTCTCCATTTTGGATTTTACCATTCCCCACTCTAGCTTTGAAACTAATGATATGTTCACCTGCAATCAAACCCAATCCACAACCAATCCGCAACAAAAAGAATGCAAGAAACACAATCTGTATAACCTCAGCTATATTTGTATTAATCAGATAGCAGAAAACAAATGGAATCAGAAGATAATGGAATGGAATGAGTCGGTAACCATAAATCCTAGCATTTCGAGGAGCCAGGAACCTCCACTATTTTACCACCAAAATTATGCTAATCTGCTACTTAGACTCATCATGTTTTTATACTAACCCTTTCCACAATTGCCCTTACTCACACAATTCTTATTCTCATAACAGACTCCTACTCACCGTACAGCTGTGAATTGTGGACCCTACACCGTAACCACCTCATTAATGTCTATTACGCCCCTTAAGGGTGTACACCTTATGCACCGTAGGTTTATCACTTATGCTTTCACCAAATTGTGAATCCATGAATCCCCAACAAATGTTTCTGCTGAATCATGGCAACCTTCCAGATGAAATAAGCAGGTTTTAGAGAATAAAGAAACAAAAGAGTTGCCTTCTTCTTTTTCTTTTTCGTTGTTTCTGTTCCAATGTTATGATATCATGAAGTGTATATATTAACAAAAACTGAGTCTGAGAATTGATATCAAGTCCAATGTTTTTCTACAGCTGCATAGAGAACTAGCTCGCAAAGCAGGTCGCAAGTCTTTGGTTCTTCTAAAGAATGGAAAGAATCCGAAGAAACCTTTTCTTCCATTAGACAGAAATTCTAAAAGAATTCTTGTCACTGGAACACATGCTAATGATCTTGGCTATCAATGTGGAGGATGGACAAAAACTAAGTGTGGACTTAGCGGCGGTATTACAGTTGGTCAGCAGTTTTATGGTTATTTCCTCCCGTAAATTACATGACACAAGCATTACTTACAAGTTATTTCATTTTCAGGCACAAGCATTTTGGAAGCAATCAAAGAGGCAGTCGGAGACAAAACAGAAGTGATTTACGAGCAATATCCTTCTCCCCATACCTTAGAAAGACGATTTTTCTTTCACCATTGTAGCTTTTGGTGAAGAACCATATGCAGAAAATGGTGGTGATAACGCAGAACTTGTAATCCCCATCAAAGGAAGTGAAGTAACAAACTCAGTCGCGGAAAGAATCCCGACGTTGGCAATTCTGATATCTGGAAGACCCTTAACTGTGGAGCCACAGTTGTTGGAAAAATTAGATGCTTTTGTTGCTGCCTAGCTTCCTGGAAGTGAAGGAAGGGGAATTGCAGATGTTATCTTTGGAGATTATGATTTCACAGGCCAACTCCCAGTTACATGGTTTAGAGGAGTTGAACAGCTACCAATGAATGCTTCAGATAATGCTTATGATCCATTGTTTTCTCTCGATTTTGGGTTGACATACAAATAAGTAGATGAGTAATGCTAGGTCCATAGTCCAATCTCACAACCTTCTCTTACAACTCTCGACGTGAGAGTTTGTCATTAGTCAGTTCGTAAAATGGGTTCCGTCTGCTTGTATGGGTTCCGTCTACTCATTTGCGAGCTAACCAATGACTTGTTGTCATGTCAGGGGTTGTGAGAGGTGGTAGTTTGTCATTAGTCAACTCACGAAATGGGTCCCGCTTGCTTGCATGGGTCCCGTCTATCTATTTGCGAGTTAACCAACGACGAGTTGTTATATGAGGTTGTGAATCTAGCATTATTGATAATATGTAAATTGATTGTTAATTGTTTGTTTAAACGAGATTTCCACGAATTACATGTACCCCCCCAGGGTTTGGGTCTATAGCAAGATCCTATCATTTCAAATATTGTTATTTACCCCCCATAAGAAAACTGATGTTAATGAAAATCAACCACTAGAGGGGCAAAATAGACTTTTCAAGATTGGTCAATAGTTTAATAATTAATATTACATTTCGTTGTTACAATATCTTACTATTCAATTAAAGAATTAAGGTCATGTTTGCTTAGGTTGGTTCATAGTAGTGGCATAAAAAATAGGAATCTTATTTCTTAAAAAAGTGTGTAGTAGTTTTCCTTCCAAATTTGAGGGGAATGACATCCATTACTGGTAATGGGCGTATAAAATGTCCAATTTACCCTTTTCTTTAATTTGTAATTTATCATTTACCATTAAATCAATATATTTTAAATTTAAATTATTTTATTAAAATAATCATTATTATATCAATAATATTATACTCATAAACTCTTTTCATTAACTTTCTCTCACAAACACTATGTGTTAGCTAAGGGTGTTCAAAAAAATGTAAAAACCGAACCAAACCGGAAAACCAGTTAACCGAAAAAATGGTTCAGCTACGGTTTGAAAAAATTTTAAAATCGAATTTCCGGTTTGGGAAAAAATAAAAATAGTTAACCCGATCGAAACCGGTTTTACAAATATATATATATATATATATATATATATATATATATATTTTATATTATAGATATTATTATATACTAAAAATAAAAATTATATATTAAATAAAAAATAATATTATTATATATTATATATTAAATAAAATAATAATAATATTTTTAATGTATTATTAGTAGTGGTCAATGGATATATATGAATGTTTAATTTTTATTTGGATATGTATTATTTATATTTACAATTTAATTTAGGAAAAAATAAAAAAAATAAGTTTTATAAATAAAAAGGGAAAACCAGTTCAAAACCAATTTTTCCTCCAAACCGGTTCGGTTTCAGTTCGAGAATTTTTCCGAACCGAAAAACTGGTTCGGTTCAAAAAAGCGGTTAACCGTTTTTTAACACCTCTAGTGTTAGCTCACAATGGGTTCCGTCTGCCCAACAATGAGTTTGGTCTAGCCAAATATAAGTTGTCACATCAGCGTTTGTGAAAGAAAGTTGTGAAAAGTGTTTATCAACCTATCTTTATTCTTATTATATTTCATTGATTATCCCTTATTATCAGAACCAGTACTATTGTCACTACCAGTGCCATTGTCGACAACGTTGTTGTCCTCGATCAACAAATTTATGCAACGCTATTGACGTCACCTATGACACGTGATGAATCAGAGATCGCTAATATGTCCAACTAAGCATATCCCAACCTCCAATAATTGTCCATAATGACTAGAGTTGGGCATTTGGGACCAGGCCCAAAAGCCCAGTTCTAAAACCCGGTCCTAAGACCGGCCCTTGAGAGGACCGGACCTAGGAGGCCTGGTCCCATAAGGAGGAGGGTCGGGGCCCTCCACTGGGCCCTCCTCCAAGGTCCCAGCCCAGGCCCAAAAAATTTTATATTTTTTCAATGTAGTCCCCTACCAAATTACATAAAACCCCATGTTAATTTTAAAATAAATATAAATTACAAGGGTTAAAATGATATTTTATAAAATTTATTAAAAAAAAATCTTCAAGGTCTAAAAAATTTATAAAATTTATAAATTTTACCCCTAAAAAATACTAAAAACCCCCTATAAAATTTCGGTTTGCCCCCAAAAATATAAAAAAATTGAAGGAGGAAAATAAAATTATCCAAGGACCGGTCTTGGGCCCATGGGACTAGTCCTGACCAGGCCTAAGGCCTAGTCTGGGTCCTGATTTTTCTCATAGGCCTGGGACCATGAGTGACTGGTCCCATTTGGGACCAGTCCTAAGAGACCAGTCCCAAACGGGCCCTTGGCCACTCTCTTTATTGGCCATCTCTTTTAATAATCGAGTAAATCAAATTCAAGATTTTTTGAATTATATATCTAAAAATTCTAGTTGATAATCCAGTCATCCCGTGATGTTCATTCATAATTTTTCGTTCCATTGATTCCTAATCCATAAACCTAACATGGCCCGTTGCTAATAAACCATATTAAGAGTGGGGTTTGCAAATTTGAACAACAGAGCTATAAGTTCCACTCATAACACAGACAAATCGAAGTTGTAGCAGCACCGTCAACCATAACGTACAATCTAAAACCTGTATAACTTATAAAGTATCAGGATTCAATCTTTTACCTGTTGTCTGCATATTTAAATCCAGACCAGAGAATGGGTTTATAGAAAAGCAAAAACATTAGCCGAACAGAGCTCATTTCATGACAACTGAAACTGAAGTTTGAAATTATCAACTGTACATGGCATTAAAAAGAAAAAAAATATATATTAGAAAAGAGAATTCAAGCTTTAGAAGAGAAGCAGAATCTAAATGAAGAGACAAAACAGAGCTCTAGGAAATTATGCAGAGTTAACTTCCATGAAAATGCAAGGCCGGCTGACGGCTAGTTTTTTGAAGCCAACAGTGACATTTATATGGCGCTCCATCAACGGTAAAGAAACTGAGTTCCTTACGAGGGTTCGTGGAAGCGCATGAGGAATGATGTGGTGCTCCATTGCCATGGCATCACTAATTATTTGGAAAATTATTCAAGAGAGAAACAGTCAAATGACTCGAGTAGTCGAGTCATATATGGACTTAGCATTTGAACGTTAGTTTTTTTCTGCTTAGAAATTATTCATTTTTTTAAGTTATAAAACTATCGACGATTTGTCAACTTATCTTCTCTGAATGTTGCTTCTGACTTCCAAGTCTGATGGCCATGACTCAGGACCACCAAAGCTTCTACATCCCTCGGTTTTGCCTAACACTGGACCCACACAACTGCGCCATTATTACCATTTTAACTACCAAACTCTTCCGCTATTTATCTTTGTTCCCACAATCCATAGAATTAGTGATATCTTCATTTCTTCATCAGCCATCTGGTCTTTACTATTGTAGTGAAGAAGAAGCGAAGATCAGCAAGAGGCCAGCCATGGACTGTATTTACAAGAACCCAAATGCCCATATAGAGGATCGTATCAAAGACCTTCTCTCTCGCATGACCTTGAAAGAAAAAATTGGTCAAATGACTCAGATTGAGCGTGGAGTCGCCACTTCCGAGGCCCTTAAAGACCTCTCCATCGGTAAGGACACTTCTCTCTCTTAGAGGAAATCTTACACATTATGTATATGTTCTAGTGTTGGTTTGTTCTTTGAGGCATTTATTCGTGCATTTGGTTCACTTTTTTTTTTGGGGGGGGGGGGGGGGGGTTTGGTTGTGTAGGGAGTATACTCAGCGGCGGAGGGAGTGGACTTGGACCCTTTGAGAATGCGTTGTCGTCTGATTGGGCGGATATGGTTGACGGGAGTATACTCAGCGGCGGAGGGAGTGGACTTGGACCCTTTGAGAATGCGTTGTCGTCTGATTGGGCGGATATGGTTGACGGGTACCAAAAGTCAGCACTTGAGTCCAGGCTTGGGATTCCGCTCATTTATGGGATTGATGCTGTTCATGGTAACAATAGCATCTACGGTGCCACTATATTTCCTCACAATATAGGCCTTGGAGCCACAAGGTTAGTTTCGTTTTTATAAGGGAAAATCAAGTAATCACTGGACCCAAGTATTTGAATTGATGGATAAGACTCCACGTATAATGGTTCAAGTGTTAGCAAAGGTTAAAGCAGCAAGTGCATTAAGACTTGATGAAATATATCCCTATTTTGTTTCTTCAAGTTTTTGGTAAGGTTGTCACAGTTGCTGCTTCTTGATTCTGATGAATTGCAATCTGTGACAGAGATGGAGATTTGGCGCGAAGGATTGGAGCTGCAACAGCTCTTGAAGTTAGGGCAACTGGCATTCATTATACTTTTGCTCCCTGTATAGCTGTAAGTCCAAATGTTACTGGTCACTCTTCTTTATACAATAATTATGTTGTCTTCAACTTGTTAGTTGAATTGATTTTTCATCACTAGTAATGAGCTTTACATGTTATATAGCGAGCTAGACTGGAAGAACATCCTTCATATTTGTTAAGACAAACATTGACTACCTTAATTTCCAACCTTTTTGTTCTCGGACTTATTCTCGTTCCACCTTTTACCAAGACTATTAGACATTTGATTGATGAAGTTATTTATCTTCATTGCACAAGGTCAAATTCATTTTTTATTCTCTTTTCTCTCGCATGTTCCAGATTATTTGCAGGATTAATTTGTTGTTTGATATGCACATGCAATGTAATATGAGATCTTACCTATCAAAACTAGCAAGGAAAAATTATTAAATAATAACTTGAGAGAAATGTAACTGATGCTTTCATTTATATGTGTGGACATGTTATCAGAATCTGGTAAGAAGTGGTATTCCTTTCAGACGTGAGATTTATAATGGTAATTTCAGATGTCCTTAAAGAGATCTGAATCATGAATTCCAGCAATTGAAAAACTACCATAACTTGAGATAATCCATTTGCTTGTATATGTTATTCTCTTTATTCTTTCTTAAGAATCATTCTTTTGCCTTGAATCGATTTTTTCCTAAGCAAGCTTATTTGGCCGTGTCAGGTATGCAAAGATCCCAGATGGGGAAGATGTTATGAGAGTTATGGTGAAGACACAGACATCATTAGAATGATGACTCCCATTGTCTCAGGATTACAGGGAGAGCCACCAAAAGGACACCCCAATGGCTACCCTTTCATGGCTGGAAGGTAGAGAGAAATGACCATCTAATAACTTTCTTTTCCACATCTTTTACAATCATACAAATATGTTTTAAGTGAGCCTCGTGATCAATGAATTCTATCTTTTTCATCATTACTCAATTTCGGATTTAATATACACGGATCAGGAAAAGGATTTAGAAGTTCCATTTACATTTCTGTTTCTTGAATAAACATACTACATTTTCATATTACACCTCTTAGCTTCTGCAGTCACTCTTAATTCTGTTCTACCCCATAATTTAATGTCCCTTGTCCATTTGAAAATGTGCTCATTAATTTACTTGATGTGACTCCAGAAACAATATTATTGCATGTGCCAAGCATTTTGTTGGAGATGGAGGTACTAAGAGAGGTAAAAATGAAGGAGATACAATTTTGCCTTATGATGATTTGGAGAAAGTTCATATGGCAGCTTTTCTGGACTGTATTTCACAAGGAGTTTGCACTGTCATGGCATCATATTCTAGTTGGAATGGCCGCAAACTGCATGCTGACCATTTTCTCCTGACAGAAGTTTTGAAAAATAAGCTAGGTTTTAAGGTAGACAACCCTGATTGTATATGTTTGTCAATACATGCTGTTAATGCCTAAAGCTTTTCCTGTCAAAATACTATATTATAATTGCACATCCAGGTTAAAAATACTATTTATGATGAGAATTTCTGAATTAGAAAGTAACAGTTGATTTTTATATGTATATTCACTTTGTTCTTTCTTTACTAAATTTTCTTTCTTTCTTTGAGTGTATCAATGCTAAATTGCAGTAAAGCTTGATACAGTAATATTTGTTTTCAGGGTTTTTTAATTTCCGATTCGGAAGGTCTTGACAGACTTTGGAAACCTCATGGATCAAACTATCGCTACTGCATTTCATCTGCTATTAATGCTGGAATTGACATGGTAGAGTCTTATTCCTTTAAGTCCAATTAGAGGTTGTTTTCCTTGATTCACGCCATAGGTTTCCTGACTGAGACAATATGCAGGTTATGGTTCCTCTTAGATTCGAACAATTTGTGGACGATTTGACATTTCTGGTGGAATCTGACGAGGTACCAATTTCTCGGATTGATGATGCTGTTGAACGAATACTGAGAGTGAAGTTTGTTGCTGGTCTTTTTGAGTATCCCTTCTCTGACAAGTCTTTGCTTGATACAGTTGGTTGCAAGGTAAATTTCTGGAGTCCAGTTCTTCATTTGCATTAGACATCCTGTGACTTTCTCATCACTAGAAAGCCCAATTATCGTAGGGTCTGTTGGTTATTATTTTTATCGTATTAAAAATGATTTTCCCAATAGTGTTTGGCTTATTATTCAGAGAATAGCACTTTGAAAATTCGCATCCGACAGTGTTTGACCGTTACAGTTTGCAGCTTTTATTCCTCTCTCATTTGTATTTAATTTTCTCAGTTTTTCTTCACTAAACCGTTACAGTTTGCAGCTTTTATTCTCTCTCATTGTATTTATTTTCTAGTTTTTTCTTCACTGCATTTGTGTTTCAGTTTCTCAGTTTCTTCACATCGTGAACCACCCCACACCACCAAATCGTTCGCACATTCACCGTGAACCCCCACCATCGTGAACCCACACCCACAAGATCATCGACACATCACCGTCAACCACCCACCACCGTCACCACCCCACACCACCAGATCTGTCGCACATTCACCATCAACACCCACCACCGTGAGCCACCCCACCCACCGATCTGTCGCACATTCATTGTCACCACCCACCACCAGATTTGTGCTGTATCATTTTAGATTGATGCAGTTAGATTTGTTTATGGTAAGCTTTGTGCTCCATGTTGTGTTCATTCAATCTGTGGAATGATTGTTTAAATTATTTGTGGTTTTACAGGAGTAGAGTTCAACAAATTACTGGCACAACAAACAATCTGAAACGACGTTCTGGTAGTGTATTACCGCCACCATTTGATGTTATTGCATTTTTGTTTCTGCTTCTGCAGCAAAGCCATTGTAAAAATATATTAATAAATCATTTAAAAAAATATTATTAATCACATATTCAACACACTATCAAGGTCAAAATACTCTATCCAAACACATATTCACAAATATTCTCGTAATCATAACCCTATCTAACTATCCAATACTATCTCTCAACCTATCCAAAATAACCAAACATACCCTTATTTTCCATTCCTCTCGTAGCCACCCTCTTTATTGGTCTCCATCTTTATTGGCCGTCCTCGTTATAATAAAGTAAATCGAACTCACTATATTATTATTTATATTATAAAGTCCTAATTGATATCCTGTCTTCCGTGGGGTTCATTCTTATTATTTTTCATTCCATTGATTTTATAATCCTAAACCTCACATGGCCCGTTGTTAATAAATTATATTAAGAGTGGGTTTTGCAAATTGCAACAACAGAACTTGGTTTTACTCATAACACAGAAAAATCAAAGTTTAGCAGCACCCGTCAAACCAAGCTACATACAATCTGAACTTGTATAACTTATAAAGAATCAGGATTCAATCTTTATTTGTTGTCTGCATATTTAAATCCAGCCAGAGAATCGTTTATAGAAAAGCAAAATATTAGCCGAACAGAGCTCATTTCATGAGCAACTGAACTAGAAGTTTGAAATTATCACTGTACATGGCAAAGAGACAAAACAGAGCTCTAGGAAATTATGCAGAGTTAAACTTCCATGAAAATGCAAGGCCGGCTGACGGCTAGTTTTTTGAAGCCACAGTAACATTTATATGGGCTCCTTCAACGGCAAAGAAACTGAGTTCCTTACGAGGGTTCGTGAAGCGCATGAAGATGTGTTGGTGGCTCCATTGCCAGCTCATGAATTATTTGGAAAATTATTCAAAAGAGAAACAGTCAAATGACTCGAGTCAAATATGGACTTAGCATTTGAAAGTTAGTTTTTTAATGCTTTGAATATTCATTTTTTTTAGTTATAGAAATATCGACGATTTGTCAACTTATCTTCTCTGAAAGTTGGTTCTGACTTCCAAGTCTGATGGCCATGACTCATAACCACCAAAGCTTCTACCTCCCTCGGTTTTACTTAACACTGGACCCACAACTGCGCCCATTATTACCATTTTAAACTACCAAACTCTTCCGCTATTTATCTTCTGTTCCCACAATCCATAGAATTAGTGATATCTTCATTTCTATCAGCCATCTGGTCTTTACTATTGTAGTGAAGAAGAAGCGAAGATTAGCAAGGGCCAGCCATGGACTGTATTTACAAGAACCCAAATGCCCATATAGAGGATCGTATCAAAGCCTTCTCTCTCGCATGACCTTGAAAGAAAAAATTGGTCAAATGACTCAGATTGAGCGTGGAGGTCGCCACTTCCGAGCCCTAAAGACCTCCCTCCGGTAAGGACACTCCTCTCTCTTGGAGGAAATCTTACACATTATGATATGTTCTAGTGTTGGTTTGTTCTTTGAGGCATTTATTCATGCATTTGGTTCACTTTTTTTTTTCTTTTTTTTTTTTTGGGTTTTGCAGGGAGATACTCGCGCCGGAGGAGTGGACCCTTTGAGAATGCGTTATCGTCTGATTGGGCGGATATGGTTGACGGGTACCAAAAGTCAGCACTGAGTCCAGGCTTGGGATTCCGCTCATTTATGGGATTGATGCTGTTCATGGTAACAATAGCATCTACGGTGCCACTATCTTTCCTCACAATATTGGCCTGGAGCCACAAGGTTAGTTTCATTTTTATAAGGGAAATCAAGTAATCACTGGACCAAGTATTTGAATTGATGGATAAGACTCCACCTATAATGGTTCAACTGTTAGCAAAGGTTAAAGCGGCAAGTGCATTAAGACTTGATGAAATATATCCCTCTTTGTTTCTTCCAAGTTTTTGGTAAGGTTGTCACAGTTGCTGCTCTTGATTCTGATGAATTGCAATCTGTGACAGAGATGGAGATTGGCGCGAAGGATTGGAGCTGCAACAGCTCTTGAAGTTAGGGCAAGTGGCATTCATTATACTTTTGCTCCCTGTATAGCTGTAAGTCGAAATGTTACTGGTCGCTTCTTATCATTAATTACGCTGTCTTCAACTTGTTAGTTGAATTGATTTTTCATCACTAGTAATGAGCTTTACATGTATTATAGCGAGCTAGACTGGAAGAACACTTGATATTTGTTAAGACAAACATTGACTACCTTAATTTCCAACCTTTTTTGTTCTCGGACTTATTCTTGTTCCACCTTTTACCAAAACTATTAGACATTTGATTGATGAGTTCATTTATCTTCATTGCACAAGATCAATTCTTTTTTATTTCTCTTTCTCTTGTATGTTCCCGATTATTTGCTGGATTAATTTGTAGTTTGAGTGCACATTCAATGTAATATGAGATCTTACCTATCAAACTACAAGGAAAAATTAAAATAATAACTTAAGAAATGTAACTGATGCTTTCATTTATGTGTGGACATGTATCAACTATCTTGTAGAATCTGGTACAAACTGGTATTCCTTTCAGATGTGAGATTTATAATGGTAATTTCAGATGTCCTAAAGAGATCTGAATCATGAATTCCAGCAATTGAAAACTACCATAACTGAGATATCCATTGCTTGTATATGTTATTCTCTTTATTCTTTCTTAAGAATCATTCTTTTGGCTTGAATCGATTTTTCCTAAGCAAGCTTATTGGCTCTGTCAGGTATGCAAAGATCCCAGATGGGGAAGATGTTATGAGAGTTATGGTGAAGACACAGACTCGTTAGAAAGATGACTCCCATTGTCTCAGGATTACAGGGAGCCCCAAAAGGACACCCCAATGCTACCCTTTCATGGCTGGAAGGTAGAGAGAAATGACCATCTAATAACTTCTTTTCCACATCTTTTACAATCATAAAATATGTTTTAAGTGACCTGTGATCAAAATGTTTTAAGTGAGCCTCGTGATCAATGAATTCTATCTTTTTTCATCATTACTAAATTTCGGATTAATATACACTGATCAGGAAAAGGATTTAGAGTTCCTTTTACATTTCTGTTTCTTGAATAAACATACTACATTTTCATATTACACTCTTAGCTTCTGCAGTCCACTCTAATTCTGTTCTACCCCATTTTAATGTCCCTTGTCCATTTGAAAATGTGCTCATTAATTTACTTGAGTGATTCCAGAAACATATTATTGCATGTGCTAAGCATTTTGTTGGAGATGGAGGTACTAAGAGAGGTAAAAAGAAGGAGATACAATTTTGCCTTATGATGATATTGAGAAAGTTCATATGGCAGCTTTCTGGACTGATTTCTCAGGTAGTTTGCACTGTATCTGGCATCATATTCTAGTTGGAATGGCCGCAAACTTCATGCTGACCATTTTCTCCTGACAGAAGTTTTGAAAATAAGCTAGGTTTAAGGTAGACAACCCTGATTGTATATGTTTGTCAATACATCCTGTTAATGCCTAAAGCTTTTCCTGTCAAAATACTATATTATAATTGCACATCAGTTAAAAATACTATTTATGATGAGAATTTCTGAATTAGAAATGACAGATGATTTTTATATGTATATTCACTTTGTTCTCTTTACTAAATTTTCTTTCTTTTCTTTGAGTGTATCAATGCTAATTGCAGTAAAGCTTGATACAGTAATGTTTGTTTCAGGGTATTTTAATTTCCGAGTGGAAGGTCTTGACAGACTTTGGAAACCTCATGGATCAAACTATCGCTACTGCATTTCGTCTGCTATTATGCTGGACATGACTGGCGTAGAGTGCTTATTTCCTAAGTCAATTTTTTTTTTTTATTAGTTTAGAGAGATTTTTTTAAGTTTTTTTTTTTTTTTTTTTTTATTGATTATTTTTGTTTTTTTTTATTTAGAGGGGTCGGGGGGGAGTTGTTTATTTTAGAGTTTTTTTTTGTTGTTTTAGTATGTTTTTTTTTTAGAGGTTTAATTTTTTTTTAGAGGCCCCGGTTCTAGAGTTTTTTTAACGAGACAGTTAGAGAGCGTCGAGAGAGATTGGCGGGGGTCGGTCGCCCCCCTGGTAGGTTAGGATGTGGACTTTTTTATTTTTTAGTTTTTTTTTTTTTTTAGTTTAGAGCAGTATTTAGATTAGTTAGTTAGTTTTTTTTTTTTTTAGTTTTTTTTGTTTTTAGAGGTGCCGGGGAGTCGCCGTTGCTTTTGAGTCGGATGTTAATTTCGTGTTTAGTTTCATTAGAGAGCGGATTTTTAGAGAGTTTTAGTTCGAAGATGTTTTTTCGAGAGAACGAGCTCGGTTGTCCCGGGTACTCAGTGTTAGGGTTGTTTTTAGAGATTTAAGGTTTAGTTTTTTTTTATTTTTTTTTTTTTTTTATTTATTTTTTTAGCGTTTTTTAAGTTAACTAAGTTTTAGTATATTAGAGGTTTAGTTGTTAGATTTAGTTTTAGTTTTAAGTTTTAGTTTTTTTTTTTTTAGACAGAGATGAATGGGACATTGGGGTTCTAGTAGTAGAGTTTAGAATTTTTTTTAGTTTTTTTTAGAGTTTTTAAGAGTAGTGTATAGAGGAGAGGTTTTTCGGTTGTTTTATTTTTTAGAGATTTAGTTGTTTTTTTTTTTAAAGTTTTTTTTTTAGCGTGTGTTTGGCTTTTTTTAGAGTTTAGTAGGTAGTTTTTTTTTGTGTAGTCTTAGGTTGTGGTAGAGAAGAGTTAGTTAGTATTTTTATTATTTATTTTTTATGTTTTTAGTTTTTTTAGAGAATGAGAGTCTTTTTAGTTAGAGAGACGGGTACCGTAGGGTTTTAGAAGAGAGTTTAGAGTTTTTTGTTAGAAGAGGGTGTCCCGTTCCTGTTTGTTGGGTACATTTTCTATGGGATTGGTGTTTTCCATTCACGCTATAGGTTTCCTGACTGAGACAATATGCAGGTTATGGTTCCTCTTAGATTCGAACAATTTGTGGACGATTTGACATTTCTGGTGGAATCTGACGATGGTACCAATTTCTCGGATTGATGATGCTGTTGAACGAATACTGAGAGTGAAGTTTGTTGCTGGTCTTTTTGAGTATCCCTTCTCTGACAAGTCTTTGCTTGATACAGTTGGTTGCAAGGTAAATTTCTGGAGTCCAGTTCTTCTTTGCATTGACATCCTGTGACTTTCTCATCACTAGAAAGCCCAATTTCTGTCATGTCTTGCCAACTTACAGATAAATTATTTCATGCTTGACATTGCCTCAGAAGTCCAACTGCCTAACTATCACCAAATCGTGCATCCATATTATGATTCCCTTCCTGGATCGTATGAAAGCCCTATACAAGAAGGAAAAAGGGGGGAAAATTGCAGAGCCATTTGTCCAAACAAAAGGACACATTTAAAGAATATAAGAAATAGAATGTTTGCATTCTTTTTTTTATTTTCTTTGTTTATTTTCTGATTTAAGGTTTACTTATGGTGGAGACAACTGAATGCCTTTTAATTATGAATGAAGGTTCCGAATGAAGGTTGCCTGTAACTGAGAGATGATATCATGTCTTTTATGATTTTTTTGCAGCTTCACAGAGAACTGGCTCGTGAAGCAGTTCGAAAGTCCTTAGTTCTTCTAAAGAATGGAAAGAATCCTGAGAAACCTTTTCTTCCATTAGACAGAAATGCTAAAAGAATTTTTGTCACTGGATCACATGCTGATGATCTTGGGTATCAATGTGGAGGATGGACAAAAACTTGGTATGGACTTAGTGGCAGAATTACATTGGTATGCAGCTGTATTCTCCTGCCCCACTTCTCTTATCATTTCTCTTTATTTCTTCTTGTTAGTCTGCTTATTAGTAAAAGAGATTGACATCTGCTGGAGTCTAGATCTTTCCATGAGGTATAGACATTCATAATCACTCACACCGATGCATGCGCCTACACATATTCTCATGTTTATGCACATTTTACCTGTATGATTATATTTAATTTTATGCTATGTATTTTGAGTTTAATTGCTTCCAATTTTGTGACAATACTTCTTTTCAAGTTAAATGACATGATTTCTGTCCCATGTCTGAGAAGCACCAACCCACCCTCCCCTCCAATTCACACGCAGCGGGCAGTGAAGAAAGTAAAAAAGAAGACCAACATATCTGATTCCTGTTTCAGCTTATGTTCCAATTTATAATGCCTCAGTTTGATCTCCTAGTAAACCTTGTCACAATGACGTATGGACAAAAAAAAATCTACCTCCTCGTGTAACGCAGGCATTGTACTAACAAAATAATCACATTTCAGGTGCAACCATTTTGGATGCAATCACAGAAGCAGTGGGAGACGAAAACAGAAGTGATCTATGAAAAATATCCATCACCAGACACTTTAGCAGAACAAAATTTTTCATTTGCCATTGTAGCTGTGGTGAAAACCATATGCGGAAACCACCGGTGACAATTGGAGCTTCTAATCCCCTTCAATGGAAGTGATGTTATCAGCTCAGTCGCTGAAAAAATTCCCACATTGGCTATTCTGATAACTGGAAGACCTGTGGTTGTAGAGCAACAGGTATTGGAAAAAAGTAGATGCTTGGGTCGCGCTTGGTTGCCCGGAAGTGAGGGAGGAGGAATTGCAGATGTTGTCTTTGGGGGTTATGATTTCACGGGCCGCCACTCACAGACATGGTTAGAAATGTTGAACAGCTGCCAATGAATGCTGCAGATAATGCATATGACCCTTTTTCCTCTCGGTTTTGGGTTGGCATGCAATAAGGAGAAAACCTTGGACTAAAGAAATTTATGAACACAAGTGGTCTAAGGTTTGAGGTTTACTGTGGAATTAGCTAGTTCAGATTCATAAAATTCTATCACAATCCTACTGTTTCCTTGTCATAATTGTATCAAAAATGTTCATGAACCTGTCTTTTTCGCCGAAGGCGATTATAGTTGTTGAGCAAGAGGTTCAACTTAGTAATTCACCTGTGTGTGAAAACTATGCTGGGGGTGAGCATGATCAGATCAATACGCAAATACTGAAACTATTTCGATTCCGTTTCGAAAGCAGGAGATAGTAAGATAGAATGTCAGATCAGAATCCCAGATGGTGACAGATATTATATCTCATCATCATGGTATGTTAAAATTTTTTCTTTCTAAGATGCCTCAAACTATGTGTTGTAATCTGATATGTTCCTCTTGAATAATAAATCTCAACTCCTTCATGCATGATTACTTATTTAATGTTATGAGATATAAAATACTGCTGCTTTCCCTCCCTTCATTAGTTGCCTCCCAAATGTAGCACAAGAACCCACAAGATAATTATTTTTTCAGATCTTGGCGGGCCAGTGAAGCAGCAAAGAGAATAAAACACACAAACCAATAGTCATGACTATACTAGTGTAGATAGAGGGTAGTTCTAAATCACGGTCAAGATGAACTATTGTTCGTTTGTGATTTATTGAAATCATTGAATTGGGATATGAAACTTTTATGTTTGCTTTTTTAAAATATGTAGCTGCAGATTAGAGGTTCAGTTGTATACATCAGTTGATAAGTGTGATTTACACTAAAGCAATCCTGGAGAAGAATCAGAATATTTGTTTTGTGAGGAGTGAAGATAGATATAACCGAAAGTATGAAGTTGTGATATTATGAATGTGGTTGTAATGTAACAACTAGTTAAGAATTGTGAACAACAGAAATAAGAATAAATTAAACAAGGTGTGCCTTTTTTTCTTTCCTATGCAACTTGGCAGGTAAAGGCTAGTGCATCTGTGAAAGGGATGGTGGGATAATTTGTCATTTATGCTTGTGGGAGAACTTTATATTAAGATTTCTGTGTGTCTACTGTTCTTTGCTCATTGGGTTGGGTAGAAATAGTTTTATGTGTTGGCAACTGTACTTTTCATGACACTAGGAGGTTTAGTCGGATGATTAGATTCGTTGTTTATTCCCATAAGGTTCAGGATTAGAGTTTGTCACACCGCTACATGACAAATGGTCGTTATTTTCTATTTCCCAAAATGCTACAAGGGTTAGACCGTTTCGAAAAGGTTAGTCGGATGATGAGATCTATAGTTACTCCATAAGATTCGGGATTAACGAAATAGTGGGAAGCCCCCACTATCCACCAACACCAACACCACCACACTCTCATCCCTAATCTGCCCTTTAACTCCGAAGTTTTTCCCGAAGAGATACCACGATGGAGTTCATCGAAAGAGATAAAGATTACCTTCACAGTTGGGGTCATTGTCAGTTTCTGTCTCAATTTCTGGTGGATTTGCATCCGTCATCCAGGAGGAGTAGCGCTTGCAGAGATCTTCTACACATGTGGTTTGGCCCAAATTTTTCGTCACAGCGATAGCACAGCCGTGCTCTCGTTTGAACTGTATTTTGACCTTGGAGGCAGTCGGAAGTTGTCGTTCCGGTTGCTGGATCCCACAAACTCAGTTGATTCTCCCTTGCTTAGGCCACTGTTGAGTTTGACGAAAACGAAAGGGGATCGGGGGCTTTGCGCTGGTATTCCACAGTTTGAACGTGAGGCATCAGGGTTTGGTTTGACCGTGAATAAGGTTCCCTTTACCCATTGATTTTAAATGATTTGGGCCTATACTTTTCTAACACCCAATTCCTTCTTCAACCCTGTGGGCCTGGTCCATCAGCCCAAACAAAGAAGTGGTTGAGTTAATCGTATTTCAGCTTTAATTTCCTCCTTCAACCATTTGCAAAAATCCTTGAACAGATCTTCACCCAAATCTTTCAATGGTGCAGCATTGGCTTCAAACTATCTCGGTACTCTGTGACTGTCCCATCTTGCTTCAAGGCTACTAAGGCCTTATAGGTAGATCCTTTAAATGATGGCCTAAATCGGTCAATCAGTGCTGTTTTGAATGCATCACGACTAAAATGGTGCTCTGGATTCAACCCATTGATACCAGCTCAGAGCTCTCCCCTCCATGCAAAATGCTGCTGCATTGACCATCTCTGTCTCTGATAACGTGATGGTGAAGTAACGATCTGCTCTGAAGGACCATCCATATGGATCTTCGCATTAAAGATTGGCAATCCAGCTTGCGTGTGTTCTTTTTTCCTCTTTCCCAACTTCCCCATTGTCTCCCGATTGGTTCCTTTTCTCCCCGATGTTCTGGTTCTTGCTCATGAAGAGGATTTCTCTCTTTCTCGTTCTCTCCAACTCTTCTTCTCTCATGCGCATTAATTCCCTCATTTCTGTCAAATATTCCTTAACACTACCCATGTCAATCTTCAAGGTACTGATGTCTTCCTTTACTGTATTCATCTCTTTCTCCAAGTTATCACATCCTATTCTCCATTTGGATTTTACCATTCCCCACTCTAGCTTTGAAACTAATGATATGTTCACCTGCAATCAAACCCAATCCAAACCAATCCGCAACAAAAAGAATGCGAAAACCAATCTGTATAACCTCAGCTATATTGTATTAATCAGATAGCAGAAAACAAATGGAATCAGAAGATAATGGAAGGAATGAGTCGGTAACCAAAATCCTAGCATTTCGAGGAGCCAGGAACCTCCACTATTTACCACCAAAAATTATGCTAATCTGCTACTTAGAATCATCTGTTTTTATACTAACCCTTTCCACAATTGCCCTTACTCACACAATTCTTATTCTCATAACAGACTCTATCCACGTACAGCGTGAATTGTGGACCCTACACCGTAAACCCTCTAATGTCTATACGCCCCTTAGGGTGTACCCTTATGCACCGTAGGTTTATCACTTATGCTTTCACCAAATTGTGAATCCATGAATCCCCAACAAATGTTTCTGCTGAATCATGGCAACCTTCCAGATGAAATAAGCAGGTTTTAGAGAATAAAGAAACAAAAGAGTTGCCTTCTTCTTTTTCTTTTTCGTTGTTTCTGTTCCAATGTTATGATATCATGAAGTGTATATATAACAAAAACTGAGTCTGAGAATTGATATCAAGTCCAATGTTTTTCTACAGCTGCATAGAGAAATAGCTCGCAAAGCAGGTCGCAAGTCTTTGGTTCTTCTAAAGAATGGAAAGAATCCGAGAAGAAACCTTTTCTCCATTAGACAGAAATTCTAAAAGATTCTTGTCACTGGAACACATGCTAATGATCTTGGCTATCAATGTGGAGGATGGACAAAAACTAAGTGTGGACTTAGCGGCGGTATTACAGTTGGTCAGCAGTTTTATGGTTATTTCCTCCCGTAAATACATGACACAAGCATTACTACAAGTTATTTCATTTGGCACAAGCATTTTGGAAGCAATCAAAGAGGCAGTCGGAGACAAAACAGAAGTGATTACGAGCAATATCCTTCTCCCCTACCTTAGAAAGACGATTTTTTTCACCATTGTAGCTTTTGTGAAGAACCATATGCAGAAAAGAAATGGGTGATAACGCAGAACTTGTAATCCCCATCAAAGGAAGTGAAGTAACAAACTCAGTCGGCGGAAAGAATCCGACGTTGGCAATTCTGATATCTGGAAGACCCTTAACTGTGGAGCCAAGTGTTGGAAAATTAGATGCTTTTGTTGCTGCCTAGCTTCCTGGAAGTGAAGGAAGGGGAATTGCAGATGTTATCTTTGGAGATTATGATTTCACAGGCCAAATCCCAGTTACATGGTTTAGAGGAGTTGAACAGCTACCAATGAATGCTTCAGATAATGCTATGATCCATTGTTTTCTTCGATTTGGGGTGACATACAAATAAGTAGATGAGTAATGCTAGGTCCATAGTCCAATCTCACAACCTTCTCTTACAACTCTCGACGTGAGAGTTTGTCATTAGTCAGTTCGTAAAATGGGTTCCGTCTGCTTGTATGGGTTCCGTCTATCATTTGCGACTAACCAATGACTTGTGTAGTCAGGGGTTGGAGAGGTGGTGTTTGTCATTAGTCAACTCACGAAATGGGTCCCGCTTGCTTGCATGGGTCCCGTCTATCTATTTGCGAGTTAACCAACGACGAGTTGTTAATGAGGTTGTGAATCTAGCAATATGATAATATGTAAATTGATTGTTAATGTTTGTTTAAACGAGATTTCCACGAATTACATGTACCCCCAGGGTTTGGGTCTATAGCAAGAACCTATCATTTCAAATATTGTATTTACCCCCATAAGAAAATGATGTTAATGAAAATCAACCACTAGAGGGGCAAAATAGGCTTTTCAAGATGGTCATAGTTTAATAATTAATTTAACATTTCGTTGTTACAATATCTTACTATTCAATTAAGAATTAAGGTCATGTTTGTTAGGTTGGTTCATAGTAGTGGCATAAAAAATAGGAATCATTTCTTAAAAAAGTGGGTAGTGTTTTCCTTCCAAATTTGAGGGGAATGACATCCATACTGGTAATGGGCGTATAAAATGTCCAATTTACCTTTCTTTTAATTTGTAATTTATCATTTACATTAAATCAATATATATTTAATTTAAATATTTTATTAAAATAATCATTATTATATCAATAATATATACTCATAAACTCTTTTCATAACTTCTCTCACAAACACATGTGGTAGCTAGGGTGTTCAAAAAATGTAAAAACCGAACCAAACCGGGAAAACCAGTTAACCGAAAAAAAGGTTCAGCTACGGTTTGAAAAAATTTTAAAATCGAATTTCCGGTTTGGGGAAAAATAAAAAGTTAACCGATCGAAAACGGTTTTTACAAATATAATATATTTATATATTATATTATATATATATATATATATATATATATATATATAATATATTATATATATATAAAAATAAAAATATATATTAAAATAAAAAATAATATTATTATATTTATATATTAATAAATAATAATAATATTTTTAATGTATTATTGTAGTGGTCAATGGATATATGAATGTTAATTTTTATTGGATATGTATTATTTATATTTACAATTAATTTAGGAAAAAATAAAAATAAGTTTAAAAAAAAAGGGAAAACCAGTTCAAAACCAATTTTCCTCCAAAACGGTTGGTTTAGTTCGAGAATTTTTCCGAACCGAAAAACTGGTTCGGTTCAAAAAAGCGGTTAAACCGTTTTTAAACACTCTAGTGTTAGTCACACTGGGTTCCGTCTGCCCAACAATGAGTTTGGTCTAGCCAAATATAAGTGTTCACATCAGCGTTTGTGAAAGAAAGTTGTGAAAAGGTGTTATAACCTATCTTTTTTCTTATATTTTGTTATCCCTTATTTCAGAACCAGTACTATGTCACTACCAGTGCCATTGTCGAACACGTTGTTGCCTCGATCAACAAATTTATGCAACGCTATTGACGTCACCTATGACACGTGATGAACAGAGATCGTAATATGTCCAAATAAGCATATCCCCACCTCCAATAATTGTCCATAATGACTAGAGGTGGGCATTTGGGACCAGGCCCAAAAGCCCAGTTCTAAAACCGGTCCTAAGACGGCCTTGAGAGGACCGACCTGGGGCCTCCGGTATAAGGAGGAGGGTCGGGGCCCTCCACTGGGGCCTCCTCCAGGTCCCAGCCAGGCCCAAAAAATTTTATATTTTTTCAATGTAGTCCCCACAAATTACATAAAACCCATGTTAATTTTAAAATAAATATAAATTCAAGGGTTAAAATGATATTTATAAAATTTATAAAAAAAAATCTTCAAGGTCTAAAAAATTTATAAATTTAAAATTTTACCCCTAAAAATACTAAAAACCCCTATAAAATTTCGGTTTGCCCCCAAAAATATAAAAAAAAAAAAATGAAGGAGGAAAATAAAATTATCCAAGGACCGGTTTGGGCCCATGGGACTAGTCCTGACCAGGCCTAAGGCCTAGTCTGGGTCGATTTTTCTCATAGGCCTGGGACCATGAGTGATGGTCCCATTTGGGACCAGTCCTAAGAGACAGTCCCAAACGGGCCCTTGGCCACTCTCTTTATTGGCCATCTTTTATAATCGAGTAAATCAAATTCAAGATTTTTTGAATTATATATCTAAAAATTCTAGTGAATAATCAGTCATCCCGTGATGTTCATCATAATTTTTGTTCCATTGTTCCTAATCCATAAACCTAACAGGCCCGTTGCTAAAAAACCATATTAAGAGTGGGGTTTGCAAATTTGAACAACCGAGCTATAAGTTCCACTCATAACACAGACAAATCGAAGTTGTAGCAGCACCGTCAACCATAAAGTACAATCTAAAACCTGTATAACTTATAAAGTATCAGGATTCAATCTTTTACCTGTTGTCTGCATATTTAAATCCAGACCAGAGAATGGGTTTATAGAAAAGCAAAAACATGCCGAACAGAGCTCATTTCATGACAACTGAAAATGAAGTTTGAAATTATCAACTGTACATGGCATTAAAAAGAAAAAAAATATATATTAGAAAAGAGAATTCAAGCTTTAGAAGAGAAGCAGAATCTAAATGAAGAGACAAACAGAGCTCTAGGAAATTATGCAGAGTTAACTTCCATGAAAATGCAAGGCCGGCTGACGGCTAGTTTTTTGAAGCCAACAGTGACATTTATATGGCGTCCATCAACGGTAAAGAAACTGAGTTCCTTACGAGGGTTCGTGGAAGCGCATGAGGAATGATGTGGTGCTCCATTGCCATGGCATCACTAATTATTTGGAAAATTATCAGAGAGAAACAGTCAAATGATCGAGTAGTCGAGTCATATATGGACTTAGCATTTGAACGTTAGTTTTTTTTGCTTAGAAATTATTCATTTTTTTAAGTTATAAAACTATCGACGATTTGTCAACTTTCTTCTCTGAATGTTGCTTCTGAATTCCAAGTTGATGGCCATGACTCAGGACCACCAAAGCTTCTAAATCCCTCGGTTTTGCCTAACACTGGACCCACACAACTGCGCCGTTCTTACCATTTTGAGTACCAAACTCTTCCGCTATTTATCTTTGTTCCCACAATCCATAGAATTACTGATATCTTCATTTCTTCAACAGCCATCTGGTCTTTACTATTGTAGTGAAGAAGAAGCGAAGATCAGCAAGAGGCCAGCCATGGACTGTATTACAAGAACCCAAATGCCCATATAGAGGATCGTATCAAAGACCCTCTCTCTCGCATGACCTTGAAAGAAAAATTGGTCAAATGACTCAGATTGAGCGTGGAGTCGCCACTCCCGAGGCCCTTAAAGACCTCCATCGGTAAGGACACTTCTCTCTCTTAGAGGAAATCTTACACATTATGTATATGTTCTAGTGTTGGTTTGTTCTTTGAGGCATTTTATCGTGCATTTGGTTCACTTTTTTTTTTGGGGGGGGGGGGGTGGGGTTGGTTTTGTGTGTAGGGAGTACTCAGCGGCGGAGGGAGTGGACTTGGACCCTTTGAGAATGCGTTGTGTCTGATTGGGCGGATAGGTGACGGGAGTATACTCAGCGGCGGAGGAGTGGACTTGGACCCTTTGAATGCGTGTTGTGTGATTGGGCGGATATGGACGGGTACCAAAAGTCAGCACTTGAGTCAAGGCAGTTATTTCATTTTCAGGCACAAGCATTTTGGAAGCAATCAAAGAAGCAGTCGGAGACAAAACAGAAGTGATTTACGAGCAATATCCTTCTCCCCATACCTTAGAAAGACAAGATTTTTCTTTCGCCATTGTAGCTTTTGGTGAAGAACCATATGCAGAAAATGGTGGTGATAACGCGGAACTTGTAATCCCCGTCAAAGGAAGTGAAGTAATAAACTCAGTCGCGGAAAGAATCCCGACGTTGGCAATTCTGATATCTGGAAGACCCTTAACTGTGGAGCCACAGTTGTTGGAAAAATTAGAAGTTTTTGTTGCTGCTTGGCTTCCTGGAAGTGAAGGAAGGGGAATTGCAGATGTTATCTTCGGAGATTATGATTTCACGGGCCAACTCCCAGTTACATGGTTTAGAGGAGTTGAACAGCTACCAATGAATGCTTATGATCCATTGTTTCCTCTCGATTTTGGGTTGACATACAAATAAGTAGATGAGTAATGTTAGGTCCATAGTTTAATCTCACAACTTTCGACGTGACAGTTTGTCATTAGTTAGCTTATAAAACGGGTTTTGTTTGCTTGTATGGGTTTCGTCTACCCATTTGCGAGCTAACCAATAACGAGTTATCATATCAGGGGTTGTAAGAGGTGACAGTTTGTCATTTGTCAGCTAGCGAAATGGGTCCCGTTTACCCATTTGCGAGTTAACCAATGACGAGTTGTTATGTCAGGAGTTGTGATAATACGTAGATTGATTGTTATCTGTTTGTTCAAACACGATTTCCATGAATTACATTGAACCCCCTGGGGTTTGGGTCTATTACAAGATCCTATCATTTCAAATACTGGTATCTGACCCCAATAAGAAAACTGATGTTAATGAAAATCAAACACTAGAGGGGCAAAATAGACTTTTCAGGATGGGTCAATAGTTTAATAATTAATATTACATTTTATATTTACAATATCTTACTATTCAATTAAAGAATTAAGGTCATGTTTGCTTGGGTTGGTTCATAGTAGTGGCATAAAAAATAGGAATCTTATTTCCACTTTTCCTTCCAAATTTGAGGGGAATGACATCCATTACCGGTAATGGGCGTTAATAAAATGTCCAATTTACCCTTTTTTTTAATTTGTAATTTCTCATTTACCCTTAAATCAATATATTTTAAATTTAAATTATTTTATTAAAATAATTATTATTATATCTGTAATACTACACTCACAAACCTTTCTCATTAACCTTCTCTCACAAACGTAATAGGTTAACTCACAATGGGTTCCACCTGCCTAACAATGAGTTTCGTCTGATCAAATGCAAGTTGTCATGTCAGCGTTTATGAGAGAAAATTATGAAATTTGTTTGTCAACCTATCTTTATTCTTATTATATTTCATTGTTTATCCTTTATTATCATAACCGATACTATTGTCGCTACCGATGCCATTGTCGACAGCGTTGTTGTCCTCGATCGACAAATTTATGCCACGCTATCGACGTCACCTATGACACGTGATGAATCAAATATCGTTAATATGTCCAACTAGGCATATCCCAACCTCCTATAATCGTCATAATGATGTCACATGCGGTGGTCGTCGATCACAACCTTCGTGTGACATCTTTGTGACAATTATCAGAGGGTGGGATCTGCCCAGTTGGTGACACCAACAACGTGGCAGAAATTAGTTGGTCGTCCAACATTGACCAGTTGATATATTTTTTTAAATTTTTCAAATTTTTTTGGAAAGATTTTGAAATTTTGTAAATTTTAGAATTTGAAATTTTACATTTAAATAAAAAATAACCTAATCACAAGCAAATAATGCAATAATATTCTATTCATTCCATTAAGCCTCCCATAGCCACCCTCTTTATTGGTCTCTGTCTTTATTGGCCATCTCTGTTAATAATAAAGTAAATCGAACTCAAGAATTCTTGATTTATACATTTAAAAGTCCTAATTGATAATCCAGTCTTCCTGTGGTGGTTCATTCATAATATTTTCATTCCATTGATTCTTAATCCATAAACCTAACATGGCCCGTTGTTAGTAAATTATATTAAGAGTGGGGTTTGCAAAATGCAACAACAGAACTTGAGTTTCACTCATAACACAGAAAAATCAAAGTTGCAGCAGCACCGTTCAATCTTTTACCTGTCGTCTGCATATTTAAATCCAGACCAGAGAATGGGTTTATAGAAAAGCAAAAACATTAGCCGAACAGAGCTCATTTCATGACAACTGAAACTAGAAGTTTGAAATTATCAACTGTTCATGGCAATAAAAAGAGAAAATATATATATATATATATATATATATATATATGAGAAAAGAGAATTCAAGCATTAGAATAGAAGGAGAATCTAAATGAAGAGACAAAACAGAGCTCTAGGAAATTATGCAGAGTTAACTTCCATGAAAATGCAAGGCCGGCTGACGGCTAGTTTTTTGAAGCCAACAGTAACATTTATATGGCGCTCCTTCAACGGTAAAGAAACTGAGTTCCTTACGAGGGTTCGTGGAAGCGCATGAAGAATGATGTGGTGCTCCATTGCCATGGCATCACTAATTATTTGGAAAATTATTCAAAAGAGAAACAGTCAAATGACTCGAGTCACATATGGACTTAGCATTTGAAAGTTAGTTTTTTAATGCTTGGAATATTCATTTTTTTTAGTTATAGAAATATCGACGATTTGTCAACTTATCTTCTCTGAAAGTTGGTTCTGACTTCCAAGTCTGATGTGTTAGACTTTTTACAATATGGTCCTACACTTCTCATATAATTACATTTTGGTCCCTATTGATGTGGTCATACGGTTGTGTCTCTTGAGCAGTTGTCTTTGATGGAAAGACAACTACATATAAGAAAGAGAACTTTACAGGTCCCCATTGATGCAGTTTTAATTTTTATTTTGATTCCCAAAACCATCACCCAAAATTGCAGTCAGTGGAAGATCCTGTAATTCATAAAGGAGCAAGAAGATCAAAGAACAATTGCTATGGCTGGAGGTTTGTCATTTACTTCCGCATATATTCCATGGAGCTTTTAAACTGAAATTGATTGTGTTATCAATGAATATTGGAATATGTATGTGTTTTAACAGAACTGTCAAAGGTGGTTGTCAAAGATGGTGGCTGTCAAAGATGGTGGCTGAACCACCATTGCACTTCTAGTAAATAGGAGTGTAGGAACTCAATAGAGAGTTAAGTTACCACTTTTAGAATTTTCTCCTTCCTTTTGTTGTAGCAAAAGTTATTTCTCCTATTTCAAGAGTGAATTTTATTTGTTTTTCTCCTTGTATTTAGAGAGAAGTTATTGTAACTCATATTTTATTATAGTAGAGATCCTTCTTTACTTGCCCGTGGATTTTCTCTCAATTTGTTTGAGAGTTTTTCACATAAATTTTATGTCTCAATTTTTATTTGTTATGTGATATTGCTTCAACCCGATTGTTTGATTTTTCTAACAGATCCATCCCACTGGATACTGAAGGTGTCCTTGGGGTGTTCATAACTACTATCTTATCTCTTGGATTTTGCATGCAGTTCAGGTATGGTTTTGGGCAAGTGGGAAACAGTTTAATGTAAATTAGAAGCTGGCGTTTTGGATTAATACTTAATTAGTTGTTTTTGTTTCAAAATTTATCGAACATACAGATATATGTAATTTGTCCGTTGTCCATACTGCCTCCTTGTTAAAGATAATGGAAGTACCTATTGTATTTGTAAAGCCTTGGTTATGAAGCCTACCTGAGCCTTACAAGATGAAACAAAATATATTATATAAAGAGATAAGATGATGTACATATCTATGTATGCATTGTTTTTTCTCTCTTTATTTATAACAAAAAGACTTGTGGTTTCATAGAAATTAAGCCACATATTCAAGAAGGGAAGTGTTTTAGTGTCAAGACTATTGTGACTATGAGATCATGCCAAATTCACAATTCAGGAATTTCTGATATTTGGGTGGCCACAAGCATCATCCAATAGTAGTTTCCGAATTTCTTCCGGAGGATTATCCCACAACTGAAGTCCCTGATATTTCAAGCCGAGATTAGCCAACGCATCTGCGACTTTATTTCCTTCGCGAAGAATATGAGAACATTTAATTTTCATAAACTCCATCTGTTGGAGAAATATATTCCAACGATTTTTGAGCTGAGAGGGAGCATCAATATGTTTCTTCTGAATACCATTAACCACATCCTTAGAGTCACTTTCTATCCAGAGATGTGACCAACGTTCAGTTTCTGCAATATCAGCAGCTTGAAACACTGCCATTAACTCGGCATAATAGGAAGTTTGAATGCCTAAACTAAGGGAAAAAGCTCCGAGAAATGTACCAAAAGGTGATCTATACACTCCCCCGCAAGCAGATAAACCAGGATTCCCTTTTGATGCTCCGTCTGTGTTCACCTTCACAAAAGGTGAACAAGCAGGTTCCCATGAAACAAGTATATTTTTTTCTGAATTTCCAGGTGCAAAAACATAATTGGGGTTCTGTGGAAAAAGAGAAACAGGAAATGTAATCAATCTTTCAGTTAAAAAACTAACAGAGAAATCAGAAGGAGTAATACAAACACAAAAATATCCTTTTGAAACTTACTACACCCGCCAGATAGCATTGTGAGATTTGCGAGTAGACATGGGTTCCTATATCATAGTGGATATTGTCAATCCATCCACAGTTTTGATCAATTTCTGTAAGCCCATCCCTGAAGTAATTACTCCTTCCCTATAATACATATAAGAAAAGGAAGTTTCTCAATAAAATTTAAATATTTATATTCTAAGTGAGAATCATGAAAATATAAAAGTAATTTCTGATGATAATATAAATTGTTATAAGGTGAATTAATGAGCAGGTTGCTATAAAACAGGGCATTTTTTTTTTTTTTTTTTTTTTTTTGAATTTCTAGGTGTAGCAATATAATAGGGAATCTGGGGGAAAAAAAGAAAGGAAATTATTATCAATCTTTGATCCCCAGATATTCTCAAAATTAACACAAATATTCTCTCAAATCCTTCTAAATACTCAAACTCTTACATCGCTATCAACTTAAAGGAGGGACGGCCCAAGGCTTAGAGTAGTTTATTTCTAAACATACCCCCTCTTCTTGACTAAGCACACTTTTTATTGCAAACTTTCTTATTAAAATATAATGGGAGAATATCGTAGACTACCCTTACATTTACAAATTTATCATTCAAATAACAATTGTTACACCTTTTATAAAACATGCCCTCAAATTGAAAAATGTATCAATGATACCATTTTGCCTTGTATAAATAAGTTTAAAACCTCCATCACTAATACCCCTTTGCCTAACTTCGTTATACTGCTATTAGGTTTACAAAACACGTTCCTATAAGAAGTCATCATTTTACCCTTAAGACCAAAGTTACTATTATATCCATCTAACACTAATACAACATAATGGAGTTAGGGCAAAAAGGCTATGTTCTAAAACCCTGACCGGACCGGCCGGTAGGACCGAGAGTTGGCCACCTGTCTGATCTGAGTTATAATAAAAACCGATAGCAGCATTTGGCCCAGTTTGGGCCGGATTTGGATTGAGTGAACAATAGTTAACGTTAGTCCAACCGACCTGGTCACAAAACCGGCTCACTTTAAAAAAAAATCCCCAAATTGTTTTATCTTCCTCTCTTCGTGATTCTTTAATATTGTAATCTTTGTTTTGTTTTTTTCGCTTTATCTTCAAATTTTTTCAGGTTGTCTTGCTCTTCAGGGTGCTCTTCTTTTTTGGTTTCCAGGTGAATAATGA